TCCTAAATCCTAAACCCCAAACCAGAAAAAGTCCTAAATCCTAAACCCCAAACCAGAAAAATCCTAAATCCTAAATCCCAAACCAGAAAACAAATCCTAAATCCCGAAACACCAACCCAGAAAAACAAATTCTAAATCCTAAACCCCAAACCCGAATAAAATCCTAGATCTGTTTAAGCCAGCGCCCCGACACCCTCAGAAACCCCCGAAGTCGAAGCCTCGAAGCCGGAAACCCACAAGCCGTGCGTTTTAGGATTTATAGGGCGTAGGGCTTGGGGTTTAGGGTGTATAAGGTTTAGGGGCTTCAGGGTTTTTTGGGTTTGGTTTGGGGTTTGAGGGCTTAGGGTTAAGGGTTGATAGGGCTTAGGGCTTATAGGGCTTAGGGCTTATAGGGCTTAGGGTTTATAGGGTTTAGGGTTTATAGGGTTTGAGGTTTACAAGGTTTGGGGTTTATAGGATTTGGGGTTTATAGAGTTTAGGCGTTTTAGGGTCTAGGGTTTATGGGGTTTAAGGTTTAGTGCAAGCGCTTTATTTTATTTTATTTTATTTTATTTTTATTTTTTGTTTTTTGGGGGGGGGGTCGTAGGGCTGTGAGGTCTGTTTTTGCAGTTCTATAAAGAAGTTTGCACAACTTAGACTAGGTCATTGGGATTGCGGCACTAAGCAGTATGAAGCCTACACTGGCAAGCCCTGAGTCCTGAACCCCGGACACACCAGGCCTAAACCCTAAACCCAAAGGGGGTTCGGGCCAGGCGGGAGAATTCACAGACCGCGGGACCGCGACTTTAGGATCTATAGGCTTCAGCTCGGGCATGCCATGACATCCAAAAGGACTAAATCTAACGCGACGAAGCCTCGCAATGCGCGACCCACACTCCCTATTTCTTGTTGTAAGATGGAGGTTTCATCTTCGCCACGCCTCGGATGATGGCTTGTAAGCGGGAACTGCCGGACCAGCTCCAAGCTCACAAATCATGGCAACCAAGGAACACAGCCCGATCTGACATCCCTTGGGAGGTGCCACGCCGGGCGGACTGCACGCCATTTTGCACCTGCTAAGCCGCAAGTAGCACCTTCGAAGCCAAAATGGCAACTGGGGCCACCTGCTGCAGTCGTTATCGTGAGCCAATCCGTGCATTCGCTACAAGTCAAACGTTGTAGGCAGAAGATCTCGTCTATGCCTGTTATCGATTTAGGTATTTCATGCTATCGTGGCCCAATCCAAACTTATCTTCAGGCATAGTGGCTATGTTATCGTGGCCGACACTTGTTAACTACATCCTGGCATGGTACTGCTGCGAGACCGGCCCCAGACTACTTATGTCTTCGGAGTATGTAGCCTGCCGCAGATTTAGGGTTTAGGGTTTCGGGGTTTAGAGGTTGGGGGGGATAGGGTCTAGAGTCTAGAAAGGTCAACTAAACCCTAAACCCCAACCTCAAACGGCACTGAGAACAGGAGACGCGTCAATTTCCTTCGCATAGCCCCCTGCTTAGCAGGAACACCTAGCAACCCTTAAACTCCAAGCCTCTTCCTAGCACTGAACTTTCATACCAAGACATCCTTAAACCCTACTGTGAGGCACATCAAGGGTCCCTATGAACATTAAAGTTCACCTTATTTGAGGCATGTAAGCGGAAGTTAGGTTGAAGGACAGCCCGAGTCATCCCTATAATATAGATTGAACCCGGGATGGTAGGCGCTAGGCTGTCAGCGGCCGGAACTTACCATCGTGATGCTCCTTGAAGTACTCGCCCGGAGCCTGCTGCTGAGGTACGACTGATAGTTTAGGATTGGGGCTGAAGGGGGTTGTCCTAAACCCTAAACCTAAACCGTCTAGGAAAAGGGCCTTGGGGCCTTTACGGCTAATGCGCTAAGTACCAGTTGATGGTTTCAACGTAGGATACACCTGAAGGTTTGCATGCAAGTAGAGAACCATCGAAAACGCCTTGTCAGCTGAGTCCGCCAAGGCGCTGGTTCGTGATCGTATCATCTCCTACTTCACAATTCACTGGGTTGTAGTTTTGGGGCTATGAACAGGGTTCATGAACAAGTACCTCTATGGGAACCATAGAAGCGTTTTTTTAAGTGTCCCAAAGTGCCCACGTGGGTCACGACCGATAGCAGATAAGAAGCCCTCTCCTAAACCCTAAACCCTAAACCCAAGCCGCCAAAACCCTAAATACTTACACCGTTAAGACCGAGAGCAGATAGGAAATACCAAAACCACACCCGGCCGAATTCCCAGGGTCACCTACGCAAATCCAATACCACATGACTTCAGTCCCACCTAAACCCTAAACCCTGAAGCATCCTAAGCCCTAAGCCCCCAAACCAAACCCTTAAACCCTGAACCCTAAAGCCCTAACCCTAAACCACTAAAATCCTAAATCCTGAACCCCTAAACCCTCACACCCCCCAACCCCTAACCAAAGCCCCAGCACCCGAACACACAAGCATAATCTAGCCAGCAAGACACCCAAATCCTCCTAAACCCTCCTGAACCCCAAACCCCTGAACCCCTAGAACCCTTAGGGTTTAGGGTTTAGGGTTTAGGGTACACCCTGAACCCTAAACCCCTCAGCCCCTAAACCCCTGAAGCCCCTAAACCCTAAAGCCCCTAAACCCGAAAACCCTAAACCCTAAACCCGGAAGCCTAAAGAACCTCGCAAGCCAGACTCGGGGCCCCGTACATACCGGACCATATTCATCCGCTCCAGCCTTGAGGGGTCAGATTCTCTGCTGCTTCGTGCTGGTGAAAGTTTAGGGCCCTTGAGGGCTTTAGGGTTTAGGACACGTTTAGGGTTTTAGGGTTCAGGGCCCTTTAGGGTTTTAGGGTTTAGGGCGCTTCAGGGTTTTAGGATTTAGGGCGCTTTAGGGTTCCTTCGAGTTTTTTTAAAAATGCAATAGCCCCCTTTCTCTCGGAGTTTTAGGGTTTAGGGCCCTTTAGGGCTTT